AAGGTCTTGCCCCTCCACCATTAAGGAATTTTATATCACAAATAAGTAACACTCGAGTAAATACCAGAGCGCTGACCAGAGGAGACTGTATTGTGCAACGTCGTAGGACTAAATTCAGTCAAACGGTGGAGTCTATCAGAGGCTCGCAGTTTTGGAACTCGCTGCCTGTTCATATCAGGAACTGTGACAATTACCACACCTTTAAAAAGGTCCTAAAAATCTGGTTAAAAACAAATCAATCTTGCACTCACAGGTAGTTTAATTAAAGTTCAATGCTTAATCAATTCTTGGGCGTGTTATGTTATCTTACCTGTGTCTGTCCTTGTAACTATGACTGTAACTTTGTGCTGTTCTCTGTACTATGTTTGTATTTTCCTACTGTCAATGTTTCTTTTCCTGCCTTAGGACAACGGATGCAATTTAGCTCTCACGCTAATTCTGGTACATTTACATTGATGCTTTTGGCTGACGTGTTGATTAATGTGCACTGTCCTAATTCAAATAAATAAATAAATAATAAATAAAAATAAAATAATAAATGTGCTGGCAACTGTTTTTTCTGTTCATTGTTCATGGTTTTGCACTGGTCCAGACCAGAGCAGTGAGGGTTCATGGTCCGTAACTAGCGGATCAGGCAAAAATCCACTGGAGGAATCCTAACCTTAAAAATGATAACAAAGCATTTAGAATTTTACTTTGATCTAGAGCAGAGGAAATGGTTCGAAGCAAGCGGCTCCACCTCTGCTGCTGTGACCTGAAGTGAGGTTTCTTATTATTACTATTGTTAGCTTTTTAGAATGATAATGTTTTTATTTTTTTTGTAAGGATGGATGTGTTTCTGCTGCTACTGGACTCCTGAATTTCTCCTATAAAACACACACTGCATTCTCCCTGAACTATTGTACATGGTGTTGGTGGAATAGCACCTGGAGGAAACCAACGCGGGCTATCCACTCTGTTTCAATACATGAAATATAAATTAAAAAGAATCTGCACAGCTATGTAGTTTCTCAGTGTTTATTACTTACAGACTGCGATTTTGTAATTCAAAACAAAACACGAGGACTTTGGAGACATGTGCTGAAGAGGATGGGCGACGGAAGGAGTCCATGATGAAGGTATGGACACAGATCTCTCAGAAGTTGAAGAAGAAAATATGAACACATTAGAAGTAATGAACTCTGGTCTTCTAGATGCCTTCGTTTTTATTGAGGAGCTGGAGACCAAGATGTAGGACCAGGAGATGCATCTGAGAAAAGGTAATTATGAGCTGAAGGAAAAACTGAAAACTGAAAAACATTGTTATTGCAAAAATAGAAGAGGAGATGATCAAATGCAAGCAGGCAAAGGCACTGGCACAAAGGTCACTGAGAAAGGGTCACGAGTATCCACAGAAGAATCCCTCCAGTCCAAGCAGCAGATCCAGGACCCTCAGGAGGACCACGCTCTACACAACCCTCAGAAGAAGTGGAGACGCAGTCGACAAAAGATCTACAGACCGAACCGAGCTCCACTGGTTACGGCCCGCAAGAACTAAGAATAAGTTCTGAGAGGACTCCACCCTCTCTCCCCCTCCCTCCCCCTCTCTCCCCCTCCCTCCCCCCCCTCCCCCAAAAAACACATATTCCCTGGACCCCTTTCACAACAAGGGGCACATTGGATCCTGAGTCACAGTAACTGGAGTTAAATCTCCACATGCTCTGAGTATTCAATACTCATGAGTACTGTGTGTTCGGTCATGAGGCTAACGGCTAACAGCTAGTGCTCGCTGCCTCTGATGCTAAAGGGTGATGTCTGTGATGGGACACCGCTGTAGTACCAGGCGGGACGACTGCGGCTGTATAGTGCCAAACTGTCGTTGTGTCCTTTGGCAAGACACTTCACCCACGTGTGAATGGGTGTGAATGAAAGGTGGTGGTTAGAGGGGCCGACTCAGGTTGGCAGCCTCCGTAGTCTGTCCCAGGGCAGCTATGGCTACAGTAGTAGCTGACCGTACCACCATGAATGGTATGTATGAATTTCCGTAATATTATGTAAATAATAATACTTGTGGACATTGCAGCCTTAATGCAATAGGTCCTCCTTCCCCCTCCAACAACAACAAAAAACTATTGTAACTGTGTTTTGTTACTCTACTATTAATTTCATTTCTGCTGCATTTGACCAGTGTTTGTCGTGTGGAACATTGTGACCGACTCTAAACTGTCCATCTCACATAAACAAACCAACATATAGTTATTTGCTTAAACCAGAGGGTGTTACAGTTGTGTGTTCTGTTATAGTCCCATATGAACCAGCCCGGACTCTGAGGAGCACAGGGACTGGACTCCTGCTGGTGCCCAGAGTCAGAACCTTGTCTTACCTTGCCTTATATGTCTCTCAACAACTAAGAGACAAGTGAAATATGGTCATTTCGCAGCCATGGTAGTGATTTTCCTTGTCATGACATGCTCAGAGTTGCGTGTATATTGTTATACTATGCGTGACAACACTGAAAATTCCCCACTTATGTTGTCTTAGCCCACAGTGAATTATAACTTAAAACAATAAAAAACATCTTCTTCGGTGGTTTACAAAACTCAGGTACCCCAGCTTTAAAGGTTCCTTTTGACTTAAACGCACATGTGGTGAGTTCACACAAACTCAAACCTCCAATGTGTTTTGTAGTTGAATTTCAATTTGTTCTTGTTTAGCCTAAAAGTTTGTATCTCAGAGGACTTAGCAGAACCTTTGAAATCACCAAATGTGAAAAAACGCATTCAAATTCCACAGCAACTGAACTAGACTGGTCCAAAAAAATGGAAAGAAGGGTGGCTGGTCTCGTGGGGGGGATCAAGCCCATGACAATCCAGACTGAACACCGATTCTCTATTCAATTCAATTCATTGTAGTATCGCCCTAAATCACAACAGTAGTTTTTGCAGAGGGCTTAAAAAAAACGTTGAAATCGCCAGCACAGATCAGAGAATGTCATTTTCATCCCTTTATTATCCATTTCTGGGTCGGGGGGGGTGGCAACCAGAGCTGCCACCCAAGTCTCATCGCACCAGTCCCTCGCTGAGCCTCCTGTAGGTGGTGAGTCCAAAGGATGATGGCTTCTCCGTCATCGTAGACATGGCCTTGGTCTTTCAGCGGGTTAAGTGTCTTGCCCAAGGACACAACGGCAGCAGAGATCAGTGGGAGCAGGTGACATGGGTCATGGTGGGATCGAACAAACGACCATTAGGTATTGGTCCATAGGGAGTTGACCAATGTCCATGAATGTTGTACAATATTTGAGTGTCCTGGATCATCACCACAGTCCTTTTTGCTACAGCCACCAACTGAGCCACTAACAATCAATCTGTCTGAGAAACCATGTGGATTATTTGAAAACTGATCCCTGACAAACTTCATCCACACAAAGCCACATTAACATGGAGTATATTATGTTATTGTTCGTCTTCTGAGTAAAGCGGCGTGAGCGTTGATGCTTATTTAAAATGCAGTGTGGTCTTTTGTTATGTGCGTTCAAGCAGCACACACTCACACATTCACGGACCAATCAATATTTAATCAAGTCGCTCTTGTATTATGTGAAGTCACTGAGATTTTTAATAACACAACCTTGTTTAGCGCGTCCCTTTGTTCCTCTGCCTCCACATAATGCACGATCGATAATGTTACACTGCAAAGTTTGAATGCATCGATTGGATATTAAGCCATGAGAGGTCACTGTCCCTGTGCTCAGCTCTGAGGGTTCGTGACTTCAGTTTGATACGAATACAAAACATTAGTTTATTTGTTTCAAAAGTACTTATTACCTGTGGCTCAGAGAATGGACTTTAAAACAGCTCTGTATCTCCATGCCCTCGTACCAAAGTACATCTGAGACATGGACTTTGAGGAGCACAGGGACTGGCCTCCTGCTGGGACTCTGAGGAGCACAGGGACTGTAAGTGAAGCAATATACATTATATTAACGGCTTATTAAACGAGTGCAAGGACCTTGGTCTTTTTGCACAGACCTCGCCACGGCTCGGTCTGTACAGAAAGACCCAGGTCTGATATTTCTCTCTACAGACCGAGCAAGCGAGGTTAATAATAGTTTTATTATATGACTATTTTTAATTATGCAAATATCGATCTACGACTTGGTTTTCCTAATCAAGATTTTTAGCTTTCTGATGTGTAACGAAGTTTTCAATCTCTTCTGGAGTGTAGGAGTTGTGTTTTTGTTGTTAATTGCTGTTATTACTTACTCTGGCTCTTCGAAGTCGTCCCTCATTCTTTTTTTTACCGAGGAAAGATATCAAATTTGATACGCACTGCGGACCAATTGTCATGGTAACGGTCCAAGATGGGAAAATATCAGACCGCAAATCAACCAATCAGAGCGCGCGTACGGTCCAAGTCATATAATAATAGTTAAATACGTTCCACACTGAACAGTATAGGAAAGTGGCAGGAGGAGCTTAAAGCACATGTCCCCAAACATTCTGTCCATCGTCATGTGTTGGATCATTATCAAGACGTGGCCACCTGCAAACACAATGCAGTAGATTAGAGAAATTAAAGTTAAAATGTAAGTATGTATATAACCACGTACACACACACACACACACACACACTAGATTTGAACATAATTCCTAAATATAATAAAAAGTAATATAACAACACAATAAAATAAAATACACATCAGTAGAATCAGGTATTTAAATCATTCCGAACAGCAGCTTCACAAACACATTTTAAAGTAGTCCTACACTTAGGTACATTCACTTATTTACTTCCTCTTAGTCTATAATTATGACGAGCATCTCTATCATGGAAATTGTTATGTAACTTAGATAGAAGAGAGTTTTCTGATCCCCGAAAGACCGAGCCCTTTGAAATGTAATCACTTCTTGCAGTTTCAGTTCTCCTAAAACAAAACTATGAGTTGTAACGATGTGTATAATAAACATTTTAAACTATGCTCCACTGTCTCAAGTGTTTTCCTGTGATGAAAGTGAGTTGATATGTCGCCGTCCCGCCTGCAGAGGGCACTGTTGCTGCGTGTGGCGGTCCCCTCAGCGGCCCCTGCTTTGGCCCTGTGCTCCACAGAAGCCACCTGGAAGTGGTACAGAGCACGGTTGTTGCAGGAAGCGTCTGCAATTTCCTCCACGTTGCATCACAGGAGCGCTCATGTCCCTCGTAACCACAGCCACATGTGGAATGTTCACCGCCACCGCAGCGGCTCTCAACAGACGCAGAGAGAGGAGGACTCAAGACAAACTGCTACAAAATATCATTCTTACTCCAGTTGTATTTGTGACATTAGTAACAGACTGGTGTGTTACCATATGGACAAATCACAATCCTTGTTGCTGTATCGAAAAAAATCTAAAGTATTGAAAAATATTTTGTACGGAGCAGATCTTTGTCAAACACAGATATGAGACACAGCGCTCATGTCGCAGCAGAACGTCTCACACACACACACACACACACACACACACACACACGTGCACACACACACACATGCATCTTTGCCAAATATAATTAAACTCCTCAACTGAAGAACATGTGTGGGGAGAGAACTGTTCCTTGTCTACTTGTGTTCCGGTGGTTTCACTGTGAGGAGGTCCTTCCCCAATTCTCTCCAACGCTTTGATCCAAAGTGTGCCGCACATATTTTAATTTCTTCATCTCTTCTGGTCTCTTTTGCCTAATGACACAGATGTCCCACTGTGGCACATGCTTTTCCCCGTGGTCTCCCATCACACTACTAACCAGACCTGGTCCTACTTAGCTCATGAGGTCTGCCTGGATCAGGCTTTCACATGCAGGAGGCACCACAAACAGCTATTTGGTTTTATGATGCCTTTTTGGAATTATTCATTCACATCGTAAACACTTTGGTGATGAGCTACTGCTGTAGCCACAGCTGCACTAAGTCAGACTGACAGAAGTGAGCCGGCCAGTCTTAGCCATTGGCCCCTCCAAACACCACCAGTCATTCACAAAGTCAATAATAATAGAATTAAAAACACCAACAATACAACAATAACAATAATAATGCATTGGTTTTACATAGCACCTTTCAACACAATCAAAGTCTCTCCACGTGTTTCAGCAAGAAGGTCCTGGGTTCAAATCCCGGTCGGACCAGGGCCTTTCTGAGTGGAGTTTGCATGTTCTCCCCTTGTCTGCGTAGGTTTCCTCCGGGTACTCCGGTTTCCCCTACCACTAAAAATATGTACAATAGGCCTGGCATGCGCCTCCTGTTCGGCGACCCCACTCCTGTCTCTGTGTGGAGTGAGAGGACAAGTGCCCAAGAATAACAATTGTAAACCGCTTTGTGACTCTGATCTGTGAAAGGCGGTATATAAATAAAGATTACCTACCTGCGTGTCATTATTCTCAAACACAGTGGTAATAAACTGCTACTGTAGCCACAGCTGCCCTTGGCCAAACTGACAGAAGCGAGGCAACCAGTCTCCCACCACCACCAACCATTCACACACACACACACACACACACACACACACACACACACACACACACACACACACACACACACACACACACACACACACACACACACACACACACACACACACACACACACACACACACACACACACACACCAGACTCTAATGAGAGTGAAGTGCCTTGTCTAAGGACACAAGAGTTTGGCACTTTATAGCCAGCTTTCACATACATGTATGGTCTCCCATCACAGTACTAACCAAGCCCTTTACATCTTTGCTTTTGACATATTATAAGATGAAGCTTTCACATGCAGATATGGCCATTTTTCTTTGACTTCAAGTTTGTGGCCATACCTGCGGGTGAAAGCCAGATCCAATCAGACCTCTGAAGCTAAGCAGGGCAGGGCTGCAGTGGGGCGGCTGCGGCTGTAAAGCGCCAAACTGTGGCTGTGTCCTTGACTGGTTGCCTCGCTTCTGTCAGTGTGCCCCAGGGCATCTGTACCCTTTTACAAATGTTGGCTCCCAGCTGCTGGTGTTTGACACTTTTAAACTGCAAACTTTCTCCTGTTAATTTCGCAAAACATGCCAGTTGTCTTTCCTACACTCAGACATATTCTACCCACTTCCATCCTCAGTGCTCTCTACTATAAAACATATTCAGTTCCATGTGATACTGAAGCCGCTGGATATGATTTGGCAAGAAATCAAGAGTGTGCTGCTATTGAAGGTAAGATAAAACCTCCATAATGGTGTAATGGAGCTGCTGCTGTTGTCTCCTCCTCCCACATACAAATAAATCCTGCACATTTGCCTTGAACCTTTGCAGCTTTTACAGCGAGTTTCAATCACACCATCTCAAGTGAGCGGGAAAAGAGCACCTCTGGCTGTTTGGATCCTGCATTATTAAATAAGAGAAGATAAGAGAGAGAAGGGAGAAAAGAGAAAGCAACAGATCAATTTACCACTTGGACCGTGATCAATGTAGCTCCGCAGACACTGACACAAAAACAACCCAGGGCCACTTTTAATGAACATTTTGTCTGTGAGATTTAAAGTAGATATGAATGGAGACGGATGGCTTCAGACGCAGTAACAGTGGTGTAAGCACAGAAACATACAGACAGATGCTAATGCTAGATACTGCTGTGTTCAGAGAGGCTGAAGACATTCTATACGCGCTTAAATGCAAATGGATGGATAGATTCTGTATTGATCACTGTTGGAGAAATGCAAGTGTCCAGCTGCAGAAACACATCCATCCAAACAAACACATAAATACATCGTTCTAAAAGTTACTATCAATAAAGTAATAGAGTCAGTAATAAAGTCACTTCAGGGGTGTCAAACAGGAACAAGTCGGGGTTCAAAGAATATGAGGGGTTTTACATTAGGTATTTTGACATGATGTTCTTTCACTATTATTTTCCGGTTGCTTTTTCTGAAATATTTATTCCAACTGCTCCCACAAATGTCTACTGTCGTTGTGTCCTTGGGCATGACACTTAACCCCACTGAAAGATCAAGGCTGTGTCACCACTGACGGAGCAGCCATCTTCCTGTGGACTCACCCCCTGCAGAGGATCAGTGAGGGACTGGTGCTATGAACATTGGGTGGCAGCTCTCATTGCCACCCCCCCGACCCAGAATCGGACTAATAAAGGTTTGAAAATGAATGAATGAATGAATGGACCAAATATAAACGTATCTGTTTTATAGATTGATAGATAATTTATCGATCCCGTAGAAGACATTCAGGTGTCGGGCTGCAGAAAACACCATCCATTTAAACAGATACTGTAAGTACATCAACCATAAACATTTCTAACTAACTACCGAGCAATAGTGCACATTTTTTTACTCATACAGGTCTGTGGAACAGTCTGACAGCCGAAGGAACAAATTATATTCAACAATTTAACTTCTAATGATGTGTTGGGTTAAACTGTTAGAAAATCATGTAAAGGGGCCACAAAAAATGGTCCTTCAGGCCGGATTTTGCCCACAAGCCAGAGATTGACATGCGTACAGTCTGGTTGATGTTTGCAGAGTCTGCTTGGTTCGGGCCATTTTCCTTGCTCTGGTTCAGAGTGAAATTCTAAATGCTTTACTGGCGTTTTTTCCGCTCGATCTGCTTGGTTCGATCACTTTTTTCTTTTGTTTGTTTTAATGCTCGCGGCACATGCATTTTGCTTCTGGGATCATAAAAAACTATCTTTCTAACTAACTGAGAATGAGTCCAAACTCCCCAAACATGCACCTGAGAATCTGTCAACAAACATCCAGACCATAGACTTGTTCGTTCTGCAGCCTGAGTCCTGCACCGCGTGGCCTTGGTCCTCGTTCTACAGTCTGAGTCCTGGATCTACACCCCGTCCATCTGTGGGAGCGGTTCCGTGTCTCAATGTGGACCTTCTCGAGATTTCTCACCTTTTCTCGCTGGGTTTTTAGAGTTATATCTTGCTGATGCAGGAGGGTCTAACACAAGGACAGTGAGGATGATCCAGGGAAACTCAACATTCAACAACATTTATGGACATTGGTCTCTGCCCCTTATGAACCAAAACCAATGTGTTTTCTTTCGTTGCATTTCCTGCGTTTTAACTGTTTGTTTCTCTGATCTGTGTTGGCGAATTCAATGTTTGTGTAAAGTCCTCCAAGATAACTATTGTTGTGATTTAGAGCGATACAAGAATACATTGAATTGAATTGAATAGAGTGTCCTTACTGAGCCGAGCATCGTCCTCTGGGCTGCAGGCTTCAGGATCAGTCATGGGTCAAATGCAATTCCGGGCAACAACCGTAAAATTTACTTTTCCTTTTTTATTGTCCCTGGACATTACATGGCTTTATTTTCTACTTTAGCCCCAGTGTCTTCAAACTGCTGCTATCTCCCCTTTCTGTTATAAAACAAAATTAAAACCATTATTTTATAGTGCGATCTTAGGACAATTCATCCAAAGTAAATGAAATCTCTCTTTCCCCACAATGAGAGTGAACTTTCCAAACTCGCCGTGTTAGCTTGTCCCCGTCGGGCCATAACCAGGACTAAAGACACGGCGTCTCTCTCAGGAATGACTTTCATGCTTGGCTGCTGTCCAATATTATCTGCAGGGGTTGCTAGGCGACAGGGATATCCTTAATGCTGGTGTATTCTGGGAAGCAGTCGCAGCGATAAATGATTTGTCCAGATCCGTAACTTATTATCCGCTCTTCATGTAGTAATTGCACGGGTCAACAGCACAAAGGCTGGTTTTCTGTAACGCTGTATAAAGGTATTAACTGTAGAAGATCCACCAGTCTCTGTGGAATCATGTGCTCCTGCTACTTTACATTGTATTTCTATATTCAATTCAATTCATTTGTGTAAAGTATGGAAGATTATTTGTGTCATCAGGCTCCCTGCCACACCCCCTTCAAGTAACATGATTGCAACCCAGCGATATCTATACACACATATAAAACTCATCCTGGGCACGGTGGCTGAGTGGATCATACTCTCGCCTCTCAGCAAGAAGGTCGTGGGTTTGAATGCCGAACGGAACAGGGGCTTTCTGAGTGGAGTTTGCATGTTCTCCCCATGCCTGCGTAGGTTTCCTCCGGGTACTCCGGTTTCCCCTACCACTAAAAACATGCACACTAGGTTAAATCCTCCAGCTCCGGTAGTCCTGAGCAAGCCGAGCATCAACATCTGGAGATGCGTTCCCGGGCGCTGTTACTACGGCGACCCACTGACGTAAGCCTTCACGGCATCAGGATGGGTCAAATGCAGAGGATTGAATCGCCCTACAGGGATTAATAAAGTGCACTTTTACCTTTAAATATCTCCACCTCTGCTGCTGTGCTGTTTCATAGTATCACTGTTTTTATCTACTTTAGAACGATCTATTCATTGAATGTATGAATGTCTGTTTCTGCTGCTACTGGACCTGAATTTCTCCTACGGGGCTCAATAAAGTATCTATCTTTGTATACATATATCTTGGAAGCATTCAGGGCCTGGTTAGTTCTGTTACGGAGGTCACGCCACATGTTGCTTTGACACATGACACATGTGCGTCACAGTCCTGGAGCCTGGATGTTCTGGATCTGAGAAGTGGAAGTGACTGTGAACAAACCACTAACGCTCTGGGAAAACACGTTAGCAAAGGGCTCACATCTGAAAACATGAAACGCCAAAGAAAATGTCCTCAAGTAAAAATATGCTTTAGTGTGTAAGATAAGAAAAATTATCTTTCAACAGAACAAGAAAATATGGCTTGACCCGATTTTTGAAAATAAGAAAATGATATCAGCCCCAAAATTCTTTATTCTAGAATAAAAACATACATTTCAAGTACTATTTACAGTACTTATTTCGTATGCATTTTTGGGTGATGTTTTCTTAAAAATATAGCATAACAAACATATTTTATTTAAAGGCACACCGCGGACTTTGTGACCTAAAGAGTTGACACATATGAGTTATTTTATATGAATACTTGGGCCAATATACAGCGCTTGACACTTGCAATGCTCCGAGCGGGGCTGCCCTCTTGAAATACCGACCATGTAAGTTTCGAGCAGACGGACCGTCTGCCACCAGGTCACGTGACTTGGAAGAAAGACTTGCTTTACGGCTACAGGCGCTGATATACTCATGGAGCTAAGGCTTTTGCTACTCATTTTTCACCTGCTCGACTCCTGGTCATGGCTGAGGCAAGGAAAAATTTTAAACCTTCGGAGGAGGCTAAAAAGAGGAAACGCGAAAGGGATCGTGCTGTAAGCTGCATGTCTGTATGAGCGCTGCTCTTCACCTGGTTCCTGGATGTCATCGACTGCAAAGATGTCATTCCACGCAGCACGAGCTAGACGCAGAACTCCCTCATCCAGGATATAGAAGTCCATGTGTGGTAGATTACTAATGCAGCGGTCTGGAGGCTGACCACAGCAGAGTCTCTCAATATCTGTAGGCATGTCTCTACAGTTTGAACACACACACCAGTGCATGCTGTCTGAATACACACTCAAAAGACACCGGCTGACTGTTTGTTGACTTTTGCGACAGTGCTGAGTTGCTTGTGGCCACTAGGGGCGCTAAACGTGAAAGTTGCAGGTCTAGCGCCCCTAGTGGCCAAGAGTTACACGGTGTGCCTTTAAACAAGAAAAGTTGTCTGGAAAAATACTTCAAACAAGCTTAAAAACTCAGACTTTTTTCTCTATTACGTATATGAAGTACTATTATTTTTAGAGTAAAATATTCTTATGATGGAGCAACAACAACTTTTAATAAATAAGCATAATTTATGTTATTCTTAGTATATAAATCTTACCAAGATTTTACTTTTTCCAGTGTGTATCGCTGCGTATGCACTGTTAAAAAAAAAATCCCTTGTCAAAATTTAAAAATAAGTAAAATACGGCTTAAAATAATAAAAAGGATCTTCCAATAGAACAAGTAAAATATGACTTGACAAGATTTCTGAAAATAAGAAAACAATACTAGCCCCAAATGACTGGATTCTAGTATAAATCTCTTCCGTACCAGGATTGTAGTTTTCCAGGCCCGGCGTGTGCCTCTGCAGCGGGAGAATAACGACGGCTTTAAGTCACGTTTACAGCTCGCTCTAATGTTTCTGTGGAGCACGAGCCTTATCTGCAGCTGGAGGGACCCCACTGATCCCCACCGCCTCACGGTACCAGCTGTAACCACACAGAGCTGCTGCTGATGGTGCCGCGGCCCAGGACTTCTATGGAGATTTATGACCAGGAATAATGCTTTCGGGCAAAGTATAGTGAATAATTTAGTGCGAGCTGTGAAAGTGAAAACCCAAAGATGTGATGTTATTGTAAAAGGATGTAGAGCATGTCTAGTTATCTACTTTGGATTTTCGTTTGGCAGAGATCACAAAGTGTAAAGTACAAACCTATAGCATTTGTGTTGTAGAATTGCTGCAGTGGTTATAATGAAGAGAATTACGTTTATTTCTATATTTCTCTTAAAAATGTCAAAGTTTTATCTCCTTGAAAGTGCTGTACCTTCATTGTTACATGTCTTTTACAGAAAAATGACTAATATATAAATGAGCCAGGACTTTAACGCGTTGATTATTCTTTCCCTGATTACACAAAAGTAATGCGTTTGCCCTCTCCGGCCAGGCGTTGCAGATTTGCAACAACTTCATGTCTTATCACCTCACTACTACACATTCCTAATTTTTACCCTTTTTTTCCTCAGAAGTTGCACTGCTGGACTTAGTTGAGCTTCAGCAACACACATAATGTCCACCTGCTCACCAGGGGGTGCAGTTGTCTCAATTGCAAAATGTCAGTCTCCTTGGTTTTTCACCAAAACAGGTTTTCATTTCGTCAATTTCAAGTCAGTATCACGACCAACCTTCAATCATTTGAACAACTGCATAAAATGAAGATAAATAAATGTATATGCAGTACAAGCCCAACAACAAAAGTCCGGATTATATATTACAACCCCTTATGATCATTTTCCCCAAACTATCAGATTTCTTCCCGTCATTCATATTTATTCGGACCCTGAGTGGGTCAAGCTTAGGGTCAATGTTAGCTCAGCAGGACAGGGCCTGGTTAGTACTGTGATGGGAGACCTCTGGGAACACCAGGTGTCACATTGGGGCAGCTGCGGCCAAAGTGTCCTTTCGCAAGACACTTCCCATACATTAGAATTAGTCTGGCGTATGGTTGGTGGTGGGAGGGGTCGATGCCACTGACATTCTGTAATTGAGACAGCTGCACCCCCTGGTGAGCAGGTGGACATCTGTGTGTTGCTGAAGCTCAACTAAGTCCAGCAGTGCAACTTCTGAGGAAAAAAAGGGTAAAAATTAGGAATGTGTAGTAGTGAGGTGATAAGACATGAAGTTGTTGCAAATCTGCAACGCCTGGCCGGAGAGGGCAAACGCATTACTTTTGTGTAATCAGGGAAAGAATAATCAACGCGTTAAAGTCCTGGCTCATTTATATATTAGTCATTTATCTGTAAAAGACATGTAACAATGAAGGTACAGCACTTTCAAGGAGATAAAACTTTGACATTTTTAAGAGAAATATAGAAATAAACGTAATTCTCTTCATTACAAACACTGCAGCAATTCTACAACACAAATACTATAGGTTTCCTTGCTTCTGTCAGATTGCCCAGGACAGCTGTGGCTATTGTAGTAGTTTATCACCACCTTGTATGGAGTGAAAGAATAATGTCATGTGAAGTGCTATAAAAAACTCATGATATCTGACATTTTTCAGGGTTTACAATTATCGAATCCCAACATCCAGCAGTAACAGGTGCCACATTCCTTTGTCATAATTATGTTTCAGTTTCCAGTAATATCCAGCATGAGTTCACTTTTCTTCTGACTGCAACAGGGGAATGTGTCAGTCCCAGAGCGGAGCAAAAGTGGTTTCAACTCCTGGAAACTGCTCTCTCCAAGAACTTCAGAAATCCACCTCTCAGCACCGTTCCCCCAGCTGCCTCTCCTCCTCGTCTGTGGTCACTGCTGCCTCTCCTCCTCGGCTGTGGTCACTGCTGCCTCTCCTCCTCTGTGTTCACTGCCCACTTAAATCTCAAAGCTGCGAATCATACTTTTTAAACAGATCTGTCTTTTCCCCAGAGTGCATACAAAAACTACTTTACGTTGCATTTGCTTTAGATCCAGCGCTGACTCATTCTAACTGGCAGAGCATTTCCAAATCCAAATTGGCCAAATGAGTCCTGATCATTCTGCAGTAAAAGAACTTATAATAACCTGTCCACGCTGCTCTCATCCAGTCCAGTTTGCTTTTCAAATAAATCTCTTGTGAAATTTCAATTATAGCATCAAAGAGGTATTCAGCTTTTTTTTTCGCGAAGCTTTGGGAAGTCCGTTCTGGCCGGATAATAGTTTGGGTCATGGTCGTTCTATATAGTTCCCATTTTATTTTGTAATTTTCTGTTTTTCTGTGTCTTTTTGATTTTTACTTCCTGTTTTGTTGATTAACCTGCCCCGCCCTGATGTGTGGTACCTGTGTCTCCCAGTTAAATTCCCTGCGCTCTTTCCCTCTTGTCGTCAGTTCTTTGAATTATGTTCTTGGGTTCTTGTCTTGGTCTTCAGTTCCTGTGTTTTTAAATTCAGTTAAATGTTTTTTGTTTTTTTTGGATTCTTGTTTTCCATCCATCCATCCATCCATCATCCATCTTCTTCCCCTTAATCCATTTCTGGGTCGGGGGGGTGGCAGTCAGAGCTACACCCAATTCACTTAGCACCAGCCCCTCACTGATCCTCTGCAGGTGATGAGTCCACAGGAGGACGGCTGCTCTGTCAGTGACAATACGGCCTTGATTTTTCAGCGGAGGCTTCAGGCAATGCAGGGTTAAGTGTCTTGCCCAAGGACACAACGACAGCAGTCATCAGTGGGAGTCGGTGGAGAAGGATCCGTGGTGGGCTTGAACCCTGTTGTAGAATTACATACCCCAAAGCAAGGAGAAAGCCCAGAAGTATTTGTCTTAATCATGAGCGTAAGTTTATTGTACACACGTGCGGAGAGCTAACATATACAAAGGCAGCATACCCCAGCTCTGCCGCGCAGAGCTCAGCTTCCTGTTTACATAGACAACACATAAAGACAGTCACGCCCACAACAGATGGGAGGGGGCCACCGGTGCAGGAGGCGCATAGGGAGGCGCCCTCCCCGTGGTGAGGCAATCGGACACAGTGGCATGGGGGTGTGAACAGACAGACAATGGTAGAAATGCAGGCATACAGATGCAAGATGCGAAAGACACAAGGGTGTGACAGACAGCAGAGACCTTCACAAAGCTCAGCATGGCGTCAGAAGGTCGTCTCTGCATTGATAAAAGGCCTTTTACGTCCGTGTATTTGCTGCGGCTGGTTTTAATGTAATTACTCTAAAAACTGTCATTACACTCCCCTCTTTTGATAATTCAAAACCATTTTTGCATTAATCAGTTAAATACCAGAGGCATCGTAATCACATCACCTTCAAGCTTGAAACACTTAAATTATTGCTGTCCAAAGTGGACAAGAAAAGAAACATGCTTGTCAATAAAAGAAAGAGCACATTATAACAACACAATGGATCCGGACAGCGATAAGAGTGCGGACAGTGTGTCCGACATCAATAGGGCTAAACCAAGATTAATGAGCACACTCCGCCAGGAGGACAGGAGCCAGTCCAGACCGTGAGGAGTGTCCGTGACATTGTCCGCTTGCATGACGTCCCGGAGTCTAGTCAGATTGGCTATGCCCTGTTGGATAAGACCTCCGTCCTCATCATTAGCCGGAATATATGTACAGCAGGATTTACTCAAGGCCTCCAACCAAGCAGTGTCGTCGGAAGCAAGGCTGCGTTTAATGCGTGTCATGGCTTGAATCACAGGGTTTTGAGTTTCAGAGGGAGACAATATTAACATAATAAACACGGTCAGCACGGAAAGTAGTGTCAGTGTGGCCAGCATAACAGTCCAAGGGCCCATGCCGGTCTTAGCCGGGCTACATTCGGTAGTCTTTTCCGCGGGAATACTCACGAACAGTGCCGTCTCGCAGTCAGTGGCACCGCTCCCTATGAGCGTGTGTGGAGCGTTAGTGGTCATGGCGATGTTTGGTCTTGGAGCGGCAAGACTCTAATTGCGTTGAAGCCTTGGCCTCAGCACTCGGTTGGGCAGAGTGCTCGGGGTTTGGGGTGTGGAGACCATGGCTTGAGCACGCTCCAGATCGGCCAGGCCCAAAGCTCGTTTGATGGGAGACCTCATGACAGCACGCTTCACCATGTGCCTCATCAGGAACTGTAGAGCAGCCCTCATCTCCACCTCCTCCGGACACACGGGAGACGAGACACCAGGGGGCACTCCAGCAGAGCTCAAATCTGCATTATGGCCAGAGGGAGCAAGCTCTGGAGAAATCTTTGGAATGGGCAGCAGCTCTGCATACTTGCTGCAGCTGAGCAGAGCGCTCAGGGCCTTCATGGCTCCCAGGCCTTGGGGTCCGGGGGCTGGGGAGTTGGGCAAAGGGGGGTCGCCTCGGGAACGCTGGGAATCTCTGGGTGTTGTTGTTGGCCTGCTTCACCGATGGTGGTCGCACGCCGGCCGACCTCTTCAGCGTAGGGGCCTGGTCCGTCCGCGCCCTCGGTGTCCTCGTCTATGGCCCTCAGTGGCAGCACCGCACGACAGTGGTTGGCGTGGATCCAAGTTGTCCTCTCCGCGACCTTAACGGCAGTGTCCGTCACCAGGAGGGCGAGGAATGGGCCGAGCCAGCGCTTGGACCGCCAATGCTTTCGTCTCGTTTCCTTCACCAGGACCCAGTCGCCTGGCTTGATTCTGTGCAGAGCCGCCTGCGCAGCCTGTGGCAGGGCGCTCCTGACCTGGGCAGAAATAGAGGACAAAAGTGCATTAATTTCCTTACAATAGGACAGCATGTCGTCATCACACAAAGAGGTGCTTGGCAGATCTCTGTTCGGGGGTCCCGCGCCCAAGTTGGGTGGTCTGGCACAGAGGATTTCGAATGGGACTCTCATGCGCATGTACATGAGGGCTAGCGGCAGAGCTTTGAGTGCCATTCTCTCGCTCGCACGCGCCTCCGGACCAGGGGGCGTAACTGCAGTGTTTACGTATATCAATGCCCAGAAATTCACCCACTTCCTCAATGACTTTTGCTACAAAGTGACTGCCATTGTCACTAGAGATTTTCCCTCGGGACACCCCATCGTGGCACAATTTCTGTGAGCAGAGCTTTCACCACCGCGTTGCTCGTGGCGTGTTTGCATGCAAATATTCAGTCCATTTGGACCAGAGATCCGCCAGGCCCAGACAGTATTACTTACCTTGGCATGGTGTGAGTTCAACAAAGTCCCTTTGGACATGTTGAAATGGGCGCAGGGGCGGAGGATGAGCAGCCTGTTGGATAATTTGGGACTTACCTGGGTTGTGCGCGAGGCATATAGCGCATGTTTGGCAGAATCTCTGTGCAAATGCCGTAAACCCCTTTGTATACCAATTTTGTGTGATTAAATCACACATCCCTCCTTTTGAGGCATGGTCTCGACCATGTGCTAAAATTGCAAACTGTCTGAAGAAATGCCGTGGTAGGCACGGTTTGCTGTCTGGTCCCAGCCACACACACCATGCCGTCGTTGAGCCCCATTCCCCTCCCACAGCAGCGTCTCTGCTGGAGTAGCCAGTGCCTGCATCGCTGACAGGGAGGAGAAAATATCAACGTCTTGAGTGAGGTAGTGTGTGTGTGTGTGTGTGTAGAGGTGCGTATGCCGCTGCCTTGTCCGCGCGCCGATTCCCTGCAGAGATGGGATCAGTGGCATTAGTGTGGGCCTGGCATTTGCATACAGCGATCTCTAAGGGCATCATCACAGCTTTCAGCGGACGTTCAACCTGTGTTGAATTAAGAATTAGTTTACCATCAGATTTCATGAAATTGCGGTGTTTCCACAGTGCCCCCCAGTCGTGCACCACAGAGAAACCATAGCGCGTATCACAGAATATGTTAACAGTTTTGCCCGCTGCCAGCACACAAGCCCTGGTGCGCGTGACCAGTTCAGCGGTTTGTGCTGAATGATGGTGGGGCAAACTACCAGAGTCTATAGTATCAAAATCAGAACACACAGCATAGCCGACTCGGTTCTTCCCAGTGTTGTCACGTGACGCGGCTCCGTCTGTATAAAAAAAATCAAGTCAGGATTAGTCAGAGGCACCTCTTTCAGGTCTGGCCTGGGAGTGCATCTCTGCTCTATTGTGGCGATACAGCAGTGTGCCTCCCCTTCCTCTGGCGTGGGCAGCAGTGAGGAGGGGTTCAGCTGTGTGCATCTTTTCACCGTGACATTGGGGAGTTCAAAGAGCACCGTGTTGTATTTCGGCCAACGAGCCGCAGAAAGGTGAGAGGTTTTCTGCTCTAGCAGGATCAGGGAAACAGCATGGGGCACAAGCAAAGTTAGTTCAGTGTATCCCACAAGGTCACGTGATGCTAGGGCCGCTTTCTCAGCGGCAGCCACAGCCCGCAGGCAGCGAGGCAACGCTGCTGCCACGGGATCGAGTTTTGCTGAGAAGTAAGCAGTGGGTCTCAGTGGCCCTCTGTGAGACTGCAACCGACACCATGCACCCACACCGCTCATCCACAGTCTGAGTGAATGGCCGGGTGGGGTCAGGGAGACCTAGTGTGTGTGTGTAGATTTGCTGTTCCGTTCATCTCCAGTTGCTTTTCTCCCGGATCGTCCTCAATTCATATTGTGGGCTTTGGTGCCAAAGTGGAGGCTCATTTCCTCCTGATCCATACTACTGTCATCCCTGAAGCAGGGGTAGTTTATCTCTCATCTGAAAAAGAAATATTAGAACACAAAAAACACACAAAAAAATGCCCACTTTCGCTTGTCAATCTTTTTTCCAATTGGGCAAAACATAACTGCATTGACAGACGGTGTGTGACATCAGGGCGGAGGCTGTAGCCAAATACAGAACAACAAAATGTATGTTTCTAATTTTATACTCCCCTAAATGTGAGTTTACAAACCAAAGTTGTCCTTCAACCAACGACAGCTCACTGCGGTTGGACCGAATCACT